TTTAATTACCATTTTGATTGACGATAACGGCTCTTGAATATCTATATATCTATGTATGTATATCTTTAATAATTATAATTTTAGTAATTTATTTGTATGGAAAAATTTATATATTTTTTTAATTCTAAATTATTATTAATATAAAATTATTTAATGTAATAAAATATTACAACAAAATTACGTTCGTGATGATATTGATTGCCAATGATTCACCAATACTTGTAAATCGTCGACACGGTATTAAATCAAGAGGTATCTGAGTGTACATATATATTTCTTACAACAGAATCCCACGGTCACGAACACTATATAAATCTATCTAATAACTAATTAGTAAAACTCATTATATCTATGATTGTCTGTATCGCCATCGTAAATCAGTTTACAAGGTATACAGCCCATCGTGTTTTTTCTGTCAAAAACACATAATATTCGACATTTTAAAAGCATTTGCATAATTAGGTGAATTTTATTGCTTTATTGAATTAGGGCCGATGTCAGGCCCAAAATTGAAAGCAGCGGGGGTTCCTGTGTTGTTAATTTTGTTTATAGCTTGTATTATGGTCAGCTTTGAATTTTATTCTCATATCTCATACTCTATAAACGCTGTTAGATCCTGTATGGAGTTCAACAATAGCTTTTTTGTTGTCGTTCTCATTTTTATATCACTTTTATAGTGTACCGTAGCGTTCAGAACATCGTTACAATCATTTATTAGCCACTAACACTATGGTAGTCGGACGATATTAAACGACATTCTTTGGAGATGTTCACGTTTATTAATTTGATCCTCTCATACAATAACCATTACGATTGTCATAAATTTCCATAAATTACAATGGCTTTTTATTTATTGAATATCCTATATATTTTTAATCCAACATCTCTTAGGACGTTAGGACATCAGTTCATTACATGTAATAGATTTATATACAGGGTGACTGGTGAATTACTATCGATATTTGAGGACGTGATATTTGACGATCATATATGACAAAATAAAAATTAATATAACATAAATATTAATAAACTTCTATGTAAAGTTAACCAAAAGTTATGTAATTAATCGTATGAACACCCTACAGATTAGGTATACACACACACTCACACAGACGCGGCGGCGGCGTAGTGTTGTATCAGCACGCCGCCGCACGCGTCCACACTTGGAACACTTGGAACGTGTACACACTTTATTTATTTATACGGAAATTTGGTCAAAAATTAAGTACCTATTTTTTTTACATAATTCGAATGAGAATCATGTACCGAGTATTCTCCTTAAATATTGATAGTAATTCACCAGTCACCCTGTATAATATATAAATGCATGAAATATTTTTTATACAAATCATTTGAATACAGTCAATAATAAAATCGAGTGGCAGACGTGCAACATTGTGCTGTTAGATATCTTCATTAATATTTTAAGCTGGCTCACGTATTCCTTTAGTGCTCACTAAATTGAGTTCTCACACCACAATGGTTTACGTAATTTTTTTTATGAAAGGGTTGGCCGATCTCAATTCGATTAAAGTCACCAGTTTAAATGGGCCTTCAGCTTGCCCTTGATGCGGATGAAATTGGTTATACGGATGCTTTTATCTTGAGGTCAGAAATCTTTGTTCGTATCAACCCTCACCGTGACTTGCGGAAGCCGGATCGCGGGCATTGATTGTATTACACTTAATTAGATCTTAATTAACATTTTGATTTTTCTCATTACACGCTACTCTGAGCTACCAGCGGCGTGTGTAATGGGAAAGTCGATTTAAGATCATATCTATATTCTTTGATGTCAGTAATTTTTTGTTCTTACATTATTCAGTGATGAAATTAGATCAATTTTTTTTTTCAACACAGATCGATTGTAACGATTAGCGATTCGATCTAAAATTATGTTGTGTAATTAGAAATATGATATTACACTGATTCTTTCATAATAAAATTATTAACTCCGTAACATTGACAGCGTGTAACGGTTTTTAAGATACAAATGTATGTACATTATAAATTACAATATCGTTGTTATACCTGATACCTACTGTTCTTTCACTTACATGATCCAATAAATAAACATTTCTAAGGTCAGTCTCGTAAAACCACATATAGTGCGTCACGGTATTTTATCCCTGGTAATAAATAAAACATTCTTTATTTATGCTGAGGGATTTTGGACCTTATTGCGTTGAAATAGAAGGGCATTGGTTATAGTAGCAGACAGGCATCAGTCAAGGGTGAGTCAGACACTTTGTTGTGTTATCTCAGGTTTAGAGGTTATAATCCGGGACAACATTAATACTTAAGCCTAATGGACAAAAAATATAATCCACATTCTGACAGTCGAAATGGATTGCAAAATGGCTTTTACCTTGTTTATTGTTTCTTTAAATAAAAGGTTTACAAACAGATTTAAAAACTCACATAATATTAGAACGATTATCAAGCTTCAAGTAAGTGTGAATCTATAATAACTATTTTAGTCAAAGTTATAAAGGCTTTCAGTATTTTAGTCAAAGTTATAAAGACTTTCAGTTGAAAGTATCTTCTAGATATTGTATGATATTTTTCCGAACATTGATTTTACGAGAGAATAAGGAAATAAATCTTTGGTTTGGAACTACGTATGAAAGTAGTGGATAAAGCAGACATATGAAAATAGGCATTATGTCAAATGTTTTTAAGTGAGGAGTATCAAGGATCAAAATAACACTTTCAAGTATGTATATAAAAAGTGCTAATCCCGACGGCGCCTGATATCGCCGCGCCATTTTTACACAGATTATAAAAATCTCTTGCATCCGGTTTGCATACTCTTTATTTGTTTGACAAATCGCTTTTGTATTTGCAAATTTTTTTACTCATCCATCTTAGCTACTGATTTGAATTCTCGAAATTGTTAATTTGGTGTTGCTAATTCAAGATCTTTCATTGTTATCTTGTAATCGCAGCTAACACATATAGAAATTTTAACAGGAGATTATCCCGTATTCTCCTAACGTGGTTCAGAATTACAGATTACCTGTTCTAATAGATAATATCCAGAATCATCGGATCCATTCCAAAAACCCAATAAACAATTAAAAGTATTAGATATAAGGAAAGAAAACATTAAATTAGCAAACCAATTAAAAAAGTTAAACATTCTCTAATTATTTAAAACACGTAATTACAAATTGTATTATAGCTACGACAAATAATTTATATGTTAATCAACTGATAGTTTATCTAGTATTGAAATTATAAGACAATATACCTATATATAAACACACAGACAGACACACACTCACATACAGACACATATATATGTGTGTGTGTGTGTGTGTGTGTGTGTATGTATACATATGTTTCTATGTTCGACTAGGTACACTTCAATTATTTACTTTTATTTCTTCTAAAATGTCTTCAAATATCGCTTAACATATTCACATAGAGAGATTTCATACATTTTTTCAATTCACATATACATCATATAACACGACACAGAAAAAGATTATTATTAACTACACCAAAAAATTTTCCCAATGTGTAAATAATTTTTCAAACATTGAACAAACAGACACAACTTATTAAAATATATAAACTTGCACAAACGTTATTCATTTAATCGTAAATTTATATTGAGTTTTATAGCGAAATAGTTAATTGAAATGCCGTAGTTACCGACTGTTTAGAATAATAAATATATTATGTGATAAATAACTGGTTTTATAATACAGAGAACGGTCCTAGACGATCGTAAACTAACAATATTGGTGTCATTAAAGCGATAATTATTCTCAAACAAATTTCAACAAAATTACTCCGAAAGGAAAAAAAAATTATACAATTTAACTAATGAAGCGTCGCTGAACATCTCGATAAAAACTGCTAGAGTCAGATCAATTTTAATGTACCAATATTGGAAGCTGGAACCACTGAAGCGTTATGTTCGATTCTTTAATTTAATTTTTTTTTTTTGCTCTAAAACATTTTTTATTCATATAATATCGGATACAAGAGAAACTAATTTAAAATTTCCAATACTAACATTTCTTATCATTCAGAAACGGAACAGTTTAACGTTTAAATCAAAATAATCAAGCAAAAAAAAGTGTTAGCTGATCGTAGTTCATGAAATATTCATGGCTAGTGACGTGACGGTCCATATCGAGTGTCAAGATGTCGAACGGTGAAACAGATGTCACGGCAGGTGGCGTCACGCTCTGACAATGGAGTAATTCGGTGGAAAAACTTTAGACAAACTAAACCCTAGCTATGCTTGAATGATTCAAGTAATGATTGAGTTCTTTAAATGCTGAACGCACTATTTTATTTAGTTTTCCATGACTTACGCATCGTATGTGACTCACAATAACCTTACTCGTTAATAATAAGCACAGTAACGAATTTCAATTAAATTAAGTAGTCCAAACATTTTAAATGAATCGACAAGGTAAATAAAATTCTGTGAATGAACGCAAATCAAAATAAAAAGACGTTATAATTAAACAGTCGTTTAATTAGATCTTTGTTACAGTCTAATTGTTCGTTAAATGTTAAATTTGTAAAAAAAAATATCTAACGGTTTTAAATCAAGAAAACTTTGGAGTTTTTTGGCAGGTTTAAGATTTTAATAAATTATATATACCTACCTGTCCAATAATATAAATAATATCCTATTATTAAGTCGCTGTTAAAAGTTAGGTCATGTATGAAATTGTTAACGTCGGGGACAGTGAAAGCGGACGTGCACATTGCAATTTAGATTATGAAATGCGATACTGAACTTAATTGTGCTTGTCTTTGTAATCGGGTTATTAATAAAACACAAACATACAAACATTACTGATATTATATAAAGATTGCTATCGATATTGTACTATGCTAACGGTAATATTTACTTGGAAATTGTATGACGCTGCATGGTCGTACAATGAAGACATATCATTTGTTATTTGAACACATTTATACTTGTTTTGTTTGATATTTTTTCATTATATATCTATTGGTACAGAATAAAGATGGGAGTATCTGATTCCGGTTCATCATCTACTCCTGAATTACCAATCCACGATATCGATCGGCCAGGGTCGGGTAGTGGAGTTGATGATGAGGATATCCCTAGGAGGAAGCAGAGGAGATACAGAACCACCTTCACCAGCTACCAACTCGATGAACTGGAGAAAGCCTTCGGAAGAACTCACTATCCAGATGTTTTTACAAGGTATACATCACCTCAACATATCATATCAATTTCTCAAGTTTACTTTCTTGTTCCATACTTCCAAAAATTTTTCTGCATTTGATAAATCTTATAATTTGAAGATATTGTCACCATCAAATTTGCTTCCTCATTCTTTTAAAAATGACTAAAATTTCACAGAAACATTTTTTCACTTGTTTTAATTTTTCGATCTATTTGAAAACTCATTTGAATTTTGTGCAAGAATTAATTTATAATCTTAATTGTAGGGAGGAATTGGCTCTCAAAATTGGTCTCACCGAAGCAAGAATACAGGTAACTAAAATGATTTTTTAAAGCTTAATTATCTCTTAAATATAACAAGTGGAAATCGTTTTCGCAAAAGCATAAACACATGATCAAGCTCCACGAGAAAGCGATGTTAACGGTGCAAATGCTATTTTAATTACATATAAACAAGTAATCGGCATCTTTCAAGATCCAAATGTGTTGAATGTATAAGAAATGAAGACATAAAACATACCTACATGATAATATGCGGTTTTGTAATTAAGAAAATTACGTATCAACAAGAAACGATATCTTTTGATTTTTTCCGCAAATACAGTTACAAAATATTTTCAAAGTTTATACGCATCATATATTAATTTTTTATATAAAATTCCATTCTGTTTGATAGAAGAAGGCTAAGGTTTATGTTATACGGCCTTCTGTTTAGGACCATGAATAAAATTTATACGCATTTTTTTTTCATGTCTTTGCATTATTAATGTTGCAATATATGCTTTGAATAAACATTGCGTTGCAGCTGATTGTTAATTAATTCTGCTATAAAATGTATAATTGAGACAGACATAATTAAATATATACTAACCATTAATTACAAACATATAAAAAACACGGAAATTTACATCGAATGTACAATTTATTTCTTGTTTAAAACTAAAGCCTTTTTTACACTGTTCATTTTAATTTTTAACCAATCGCTTTTATTGTTATGGCTACATATGAATTTGTAATAGTGATTTTTTTCATATTAAGTATCCATTTCGGGCAAAATAAACCTTTATGAATAATCCAAGTAAATATATATTTTTTTACTATAACCACACCACAACAGAAAATAAAATCAGTATATACACATATAATCTATAAAAAAAGAACTTTATATATATTCTTACGATTTTATTTAAAAAAACTATAACCAAAACCATGTAACGATATTAGTGTTAAAATATATGTTTAACGATACTTTGATTAACGATAATGATACGTCGAGTCACATTTAATTTCCCGAACGCAATTGTAATTTTATATTAAAATGCATTGCAATGATTGCGTCATTACAGTTTGTTTACGTGACATATAAAACATATGTTTTATACGTAAAATACAAATTACACAAAATACTTTATTGTTCGAAAAATTTTTACGTCACATTTATTTTATGTACACAGTTTTATTTCAATCATGTCCAATGATTTATTTCATTTATGAAAATTGATTCGGACAATATAATATACAAGATATTTATACAAAACATTAAATATAATTGTTTGAGTTATATGTTATTGAATTACAATCAATTAGACGGCAATACGTATTACGGACCCAATTGACATTGTTTTTATAACAATATATGCATTATATATTCAGTACCGACTCGTAAGTGTCTCAGAATGTCTTAATACGTCTTAACTTTAATTCTTAACGGAGATTATTTTAAGATTTATAGATTTTAAGTTTATCTGAATCAGGAAGGTCTTGATGGACATTTAAACAAATTAGCAGTAGGTAATCTATTTTCTTACTGTTCTAGGTAATTCTAGTTAAAAATAACTAATTAATCTTCTTATAACTTAATCTTTCTCAATTTTTATTTTAATAACCATTAAATATAATATTATTTATAATTTTAAATATGGCAGACACGTAAAGAAAATTTATATTTTCTTGTGTGTGTTATACTAAGTGTAGCTTCAACTTTCGTTAGAACAGAATAACAGATTTAAATAAAACTATATCTGTGTCGGGAGTAACTTTAACATACTAAATTTATTATTTTACATTTAAGCTTAAATTTCGATTACTTTTCAGCATCCGTGATCCTTATATGTATCTCGCTTTCTCGTGATCACGTTTTCTCCAAAAGTTCTCGGAACATTGGATAAAATGTAAAAAATAAAAAAAAACAGTTTATTTATATAAAATATTAATCATAGCATTCTTCTTCATAGTATCCTTTATACGTTTTGTTTACCTAACTGATTATATTTCCTAGGTATGGTTTCAAAACCGTAGAGCTAAATGGCGCAAGCAAGAAAAGGTGGGTCCCCACGCTCATCCGTACGGCGGGTATTTGGGAGGGCAGCCTTTGCCAACAGCTGCTATGCAAGTACCACCACACTCACTCACACAACTTGGCTTCGGATTGAGGAAGCCTTTCGACAGCTCCTTGGCTACATTCAGGTAAAATGAGCACAAGATATAAGAAATCAGAAATAAAGTAATGATCAAGGTCATATATAAACAGGTAATAACCATTTAAATGTTTATGTCATACAGGTATGCCAGTAGTCCATTATTCGGGACGCAATACCTACCACATCTGTCGAGGCCTCACCTATTCGGGGCCCCGTTGTACGCCACATCGCCAGCTCATTTCCACTCTCTATTCGCTAACCTGACCGCACCAGAACCACCGCGTACATCACCCGAACATTCCCGATTATCACCCGAAGTTACCCGATCCCCATCACTATCTCCCCCCATTTCCCCAGGTAGTGAAACTCTCCCCCAAGTAGAAGATGTTAGAAGTTCCAGTATAGCAGCCTTAAGGCTAGCTGCTAGGGAACACGAATTAAGATTAGAACTATTGCGGCAAAGAGCCGATTTAATTTGTTAGAGTATATTATAAAATAAAATGTATATATTTAGTTGTAATTATTTTAGTTTAATTTAATTTTTCATATTAAAAATTGTAAATAATGAAGGCATTGCATGCGTTTCCTAAAGGTTAAAAATGTTTCTCTCATGTAGATTATTGTTATTAAATACAGTGGTTGTTTTGTACTGGTATCTTCTATTATATTAAGATATACACTAACAGTTGTATGTATTGAATAGTATTTTAGAAAATAAAACATTATTTAAGCATGAATTTTGAATTTTTATTTAAGCTACTTCATGGTTAAACGCATCGTCAATTTATCATCTCGTCTGCCCGTGATCACGGTTGCTGAAAACTTACCGAAACGTCGCTAGTATGTAGTTCTTACAATAATAAAATAGTCGTAGTATAATCCAAAAAAAAAATGTTTCTTATTAATGAATTCTCGAAAAAACTTTAGATCCCATTAAGCGTCAATTTATTTTACAAATCAAATAAAAGTTTCAATTATCCACACTAATGTTACAAATTTGTAAACTTTACATCTTTATGACTTTCTGTCTGTGTCCAACATTTTATTTACTATACAGTTAATAAATATTGAATGAAATTTATTAAGAATGGATATAGGAAAAAACAAAAATTAGGTTTTCTTTTTGGTGATAACTGAATACAAAATCTTGTCATATTCAAAAGTGAAGAAATAACATTAAAAAAACACTTTGAGCAGTTTCCTAATGTAGTAACAGTTAAAGAAACATTAGAAATTCTTAGTATAATTTCAAAACCATTTTGTAATATAGTTTTATAAATAATGTAAAAAACAAGGTACGAGGATTTTTTTTATTGAGAAGTTATAAATAATAACATATATAGTAAATAAAGCCGGAAAAGTTTTTCCTGGACGCTACTTTTCTAAAAAATGTAATCAAGCTTACAATTTAGTTACCTATTTAGTAAATAAATACCAATTTATAAAAGTTATGACAAAAAAAAACGTTTATGGAAGTTAGATACTTTCTAAAAAAAATAATTCCATAGACACTCTTTTTTTCACCTCATAGAGACATAAGCGTAACAAGTATTTATTTTATTCTATAGCTCTACATAAAACAACAACGTAAATTATTACAAATAGTATACACATTTATAATTATATAAGCTTGTTCATTTGCATTATAAGTATTAATAATAAATTCGATTTTATTAATTTTTTTAAACACATTGCTAGGATACAATATTAATAATTATTATAGAATCTGTGCATATTATTTATCCCGAGATCATTATGTTACCGCAGGTCCTAGGTCAATATAGTAATTGGCCACGTATAAACCCTTCACGACCTTGGGATTTGAATCAAGTCTTGAGTCACACCTTTAATACGCTTACGTAATAGATTCGTCTTCTCTCAGCTTTCAAATTTAAAACTTTTCTTATGTTTGAAATATATCTTTAAATTTAAGTATAGAACAGTCTTATGCAAGAAGAGTTATAATTTAAAATATTTATGTCCGACTTATATCCCATATAATAATTATTTTTTATTGACTTTATATTGTTTTCCAACAATATTGATACTTATGTTACTGCCATTGTAACTATTAAAAGTGACGCAACAAATCCTCTACGTTTTGGAATAATACTTAAAATGTTTTCTAAACATTTTTTTTTATACAGCAGCATTATTTACGAGATATTGAATTATGTGACAGTTTATTACGATTGTAAATTTATTTGATCGTCTTTAATCCTCTGACAATAAAATTAGATTTATTTACAATATTACATTATAAAAATAACTTGTAACTTTGTATTTTTAAATTGTATTTAATACTTTTGTCATTTTATATAAAAAAATATAAAAGCATAAAACCTCATTCACTAGAATGAAGTAAACGCGAATATTTTATTATCTGTATTTCACATCATACAGCCGATGTCTGTAATGTATTTTATGATCAGCTTAGTGGACTTTGTTCTGTTGATAATTATTATTACTATAATAACCATAATAAGATCTCATAGCGTCACTTGATACAATATGATTCTTTTCCGGCTAAGAAACACTATACTCAAAAAATTATCAAATGTATCAATTATCAAATGAGCTGTAAATCGCTTAAACAGCTATCGCTAAGCGTTCTACAGCTTATATTTACACACTTATAATAATGTGATTACTTTAAGCAAATGCTAAAATTATGTTACCGTATATAACCAAGTTACTATTTTATATCTTTTAGAAAAGTATATACTTACATACAAAAATGAAAAAACCACTCATTCTTCGGACATTTGCCTTTACAGGGATTTGATAATATTTTTTTGGTGTCATAATATCTACTATAAATAGCTATGTTACACGAAAGAGATTTCATTTTGTGATTTTTAAACTCTTTTATTGTATCGTGTATCCCCCGATGTGATTCATTACTTTTTTTATATAGCTGCTTCGATTTATATGCAAAATTACTATAAAAACGACTATATTTACACCTAATATGTCTAACATTAAAGAAATAAAAGTGAATAGAGTTTATAGACACAGTCTTTTAATATGCAGCTACACATATTTCTTATTTACAAGGCTAGTTCCTTTATATATAATTATAATTTATATAAGAGACTTTAAATATATCCTGATTGATCCTGGATATAAATATTATTATGTCGCTTCAAATACAGTAACATGTATAATTTCGGATACTAATATTTTGATTAAAGTGTGGGAACATGTTACAAAAATTATTTGGTATTTTTATTTTCAGGATTTTTTAAATATTAAAAAGAAAATATCTACTTATAAGTTTAAATAAATTTCTAATTACATTATATGTAGTTAGTTGAGCGTAGTGGTAAAGCTAAGTATTGAGAAACAATAAACTCAGACTGAGAATGAAATAAAATCATTGCCAGTGTTAATTTTTGAAATATCTTTAATATTTATATTATTTATTTATTTTATAATAAAACAAATTAGGTTAAGGTTCAATAATATATATTGAATTAGGTATATGATTTTTTTGTTTCGTATTTCAATTTTACAACATAATGTTTGCCATTCCAATGAATTCCAATTAGCATAACTTATAAGTCATAAAGAGGCAGTCATTCAGCTAATTGTGATTAAAAAAATATTAAAATGAATCGACTCAATAGGTAGAATCAAAGATTAAACTTTGACCTCAATAACTAATCGATATATTCCCTATTATATTCATAGTTTATAAAAAAAACCTGCTTTAACTTAGTCTCTGAAGTAAAATTCTGAATCTATGTATAAAAATACAATTTACACACTAACCGAGCATCATTTATATTACCTATTTGGTTTCTTATATCTCATTACGGCATTAAACATCACTCGTAATTTGTCCTTTAGGTTCTTTGAGTTAAATTAAATCTCACATGATAAACCTCCTTTATAAAACCTTTTTGCTTAAAAAAATATATTTTAAATGACACAATATTCGAATTTTCTGAATTCCATATTCAATTAGAAAAAAATATTATTAGTCCCAAGTAAAATATGTTGTAAGCATATGATATAAAGTATTCTATAACAAGACAGTCGTAAACGTCTCGTTAATTTTAATGCTGTGATTATTGGGATGGGAGAGAATTACCAATACATCCTGTCACTGAAACTTACCATACAATACTAAGACTAATTTGTCGCAAATGTATATATGAACTAAGGATTAAGAACATAAATCTTTGTTATATTATTTCAATACCAATTCTTAATTTCAGGCTATATCATTAAGTATATTTTGGTTATAAAATCGTCGTTCAAAATCAGTCAAAACTTCAATATTAATTTATATACATATTTCTTTTATATATAAAAAAAAATCTCCTCATAATTTCTATCTACGCCTATCATATTAATAAGTCTACGATAGTATTTTATATATTTATGCAATAAAGTTTATAGCTCGCCTTAATTAATGTTGATCTCAAATGTATTATATATTTTAATACATTTAAACATATATAATAATTTTATTGCACAAAATCGTTAAGGAATAAGCCGCTTTTGATTATAATTTTTAATTTACGATTTTATAACCAGTTTCGCAAAATTACATTATAAATGTTAGTAATTATTTGTATGGCTTGAAACCGTAAACGTTCTAATATCAATTTAATTATATTAATTTTATCTATATATTCGTTTCCCACGGTTAAAATATTAAATTTTTACATAATTTACATCAGAATTATACAATTATATTATATAAAATTTAATGAAGTGAAAAACTCACTAATTATTTAGAAAATTTTATATAAAAAAGAAAAGCAGGAACTCTCGACGGTCGAGAAAAAAAAGTTTTATTTTGACTAATCATCAACTATTACTAAATTCAATTTCAATGAATTATCTAAAATGTTCTTTTTTAAAAGTAAAATAAAATAAAAGTATTTCTTTATAATCATGATAAGTCCAATTTAAAATTGTGTTGCCAGTTTTAAATAAACCACAATTTTAATCAACACGGGATAAACAAATCACATTATTTTACGGTCAACGAAATATGGGCCCAGAATTGAGCCGCCAAATTAAAAGTTATTTATGTTGATTGAATTCAAAATAGAAAACTATCAACGATATGCTTAGATCACCGTTACTTATGATATATTATACTAAGAATTTATTATCATTAATCGATCCTTAACTCGATACAACAATAATGTTTTAATTCAATCTTAAATGTAATACGGAATCGAATCGCATACCGATAACGTTATTTTTAAATTCGTCATAATGTCAAATCGTTGTGTACAGACAATAATGATCTGTATTGTTATAGACAGAGTTGTTATTATCGTGTGTAGTATCATTTGAAACCTTCGCTTAAGCTTTCCATTAGCGGGCACGCGCCGAAGTCGATACACGAATGACATTTAGAAGGAACACGATATCAATACGTATGTAATTCGTCTCGCAGACAATATAAATGGCGTCTAGACGTAAGTCAGTCAATAACTGATAATACTAAACGTCGTTA